ACAGCCAACTATGCCAGCAGGCCCTGTGTCCAGTCACACAGATGTTCTGATGGCCAGCCTAGCCTTGTGCTTCACTTTATTGCACAAACCCTAGTCACACAGTCGGCTCCTCCACTGAAGGCCTGTGGGCAGCGCCAGGGACTCTGTGTGTCCAGGTGTCCACTGCTCGTCTGGTCCGGCCCCTCACTGCTGTGCTCTGGACCTCTCCACCCAGACTGGCCACCCTGGAGGCCAGAGGCACCCGTGCCTCCCACCTCCTCTGGGCTGTGGGGTACTGCATCAGAAACCTCAACCAGGGACCCCCACCATGGCAGTGGCTTCCCTGAAGGCTTGGCAGCCTGTTGATGCAGCACACACTGATTTTCTGGGGGCTCACAGTTTGGCCCGCGAGTGGGATCCCTGTCTGTCTGCCCTGTTCTGGTACAAGGAGCGCAACGACCTCTAGCCCTTCCACATCTGTGAAGAGGACATGCCAGAAGGAGGCCACTCATCAACGTGGCCCCCTCCCCTGTGACCAGCTCAGTGTGTCAGGACACTCCATACCCTACATGGATGGTCCAAGCCTGTGCTTTCAACCTGCTGCATTTTCCAGGTGGGAAGGCCAGGTGCTGAGATGGACAGCAAGCTGACAGTGAGGCTGGGTGGCCCAGCTCCACGGATCTTACCCTGCCTGGTCCGGGAGTGCTGGAGCTCCCCACCCCACCTCTCCCCTGCCCACTCTCCTCACCCCCACACACTCACCTGCTCTGAGGAGGGTGGGGGGAATATCAGAGGTCCGTCCTTCATCCCACAGTGAGGCGAGCACGAGGTGAGAAAGGCCAGAGGGGCCTGACTTTGTGAGAACACTTACTGGTTTTGAGTTGAACTCAACTTGTGTTTAACAGTAACCAGAACCCGTCGTGGGTCAGTCAACTCTGAGTCATGGTGCCCCATATGTGTCCGAGTGGAACTGGGCTGCACAGGGCGTTCAGTGGCTGATGTTTCAGAAGCAAATGGCCAGGCCCTTCTTCTGAGGCCCTCTGGGTGGACTTGAACCTGTAACTCAGTGAGCACCATGTGAACTACCAGGGGCTCCAACTGATTGTCTGCAAACACTAACCCTCTGCTAGGCACTAGTCTTCAAGACATGAACACAGGCAGGCTGCGGGCTCAGGACTAACTTCTCTAGAAAAATG